CTCCTGACACATGGCAGACTCTCAGTAGATGTTTCTGGAATGGGGGCCACAATGGAAGCATCTTGGCAGGAATGGAAATGAGGATTACAGAGATGCCTGTGGCTCTCTATCTTACTGTAGAAACAATGGAACCCAGGGAAGTGGTATTTCCCTGGGAATCTCATGCTTCCGGGAAGGAAAGGCAAGTCTGCTGCCAGCCAGAGAGAAACCTGTGCTTCACAAAGAGATTCCACACAGTGCTGACAACTCAATCACCTTGCAGGAGGGTCTGAGCTGAGTGATAAAGGGCTAGTTAGCTATGCATACGTCCTGCCTTCTATTTAAACCTAACCCTTGTGTTAGAACCCTGCTGATGGACTTGAAGGTCACTGGGTCTTTTTTTTTTTTTTTATTCCTAATGTGATCACGTTGAATTACTTTTGGGCCTCTTGGTTAAGATCAAATATAGTATCTGTTCTTATTAGTTTAATATCTGAATTGTTCTTCATCTAACACGACTATGTTGAATAACTCTTGAAGTGGAAACTTAAGGGTTCTTTGGAAAGTCGGTTAGATGGTGTTTTGCTGGAGTAAACACATGGAGGAACGTTTTATTAAAGTGGACACAGGTGTGAAAGGCTAAGTCAAACTCGTGAAGGAATGTTTCACTGAAGCAGACACAGGATCTGTTAAAGGAAGCATGTGAAAGAACACATGATGAAAAGATTCTTTTGCTGACGACACACATGTATTGGTCTGCCTTACACTGCGTAGTTGAGTTGCACTTGTCGGGACACCATAGAGAGAAATGCACTAAAAAAAAAACAACAACTTTTGGTGGTGTGCTGCAGCTTCTTGCCTCGTTCGAGGAGTCGGGCTGATGTAAATGCTGAGGCAAGACCCGTGCTGAAGCAAGGCATGTGGAGGACACGTGATGTTTGGAGGGTATAAATAGGACTCCACAGAGTGCTGGAGACAGAACTTGGCTCGCTCTTATAGCTAGCTGTGCAACACTTGTGGGTCTTGAGTCTTTACTGATCTTTGCTTCCCTGAGAGAGGCACAGCTGAGAAAGTCTCCTGGTGTTCTGTTGGTCCCTCCTGCTGACTCCAGCTGAGGCTGAGGCCTGGCTGTTTCTGCTAGCTCGTGTCACCGCTGCTGCTAACCTGACACTACTGACCTGGACTGCTGGTGTATCCATGAGGTGTTTGTGAGTGGATCAAGCTGCCACTGCCTGCTGACCTGTGAACTGAACTGCCAATTTCCAAACAACACAGACAGAAATTGCTCCAAGAACCTTTCTAAACAGGTCTACTTCCACCACACCCTGTATCCTTTCTTTTCCACTACCTCTGGTGGGTGGTGGGCTATAAGGAAGGTTAAAGCATTTAAGAACCATCATTAAAAATAGGATTTGAAAAAAAATTAAAGTTATAAACACTCTTCTGCTTTTCACTATTACTTGTTTAATTGACCTGTGGAAGGCAAGTGGCCCAGCCAAAGCTACCAGGGCTGCCAGGGCCCTGGCTCTGACTCCTGAAACTCTGGTAACAGCCACTGACAGACCATTTTGGTGCCCCAATACCTGTCTATACTTCCTGCTTTTTGTTTAGCTCCAGAGGCCCAGTCTCCTACAGATGCATGGCCAGGCAGCATTGTCTGATAAAATATAGAACTCAATTAAATTTTGAATTTCAGGTCAACCACAAATAATTTTTTTAAATGTTTGGAACAACAGACCTTATGAACCTGGCAAGCTGAGAACGCAAAGGAGAGTGACAAGAATCATAGCACTGTGGAGGCAGAGACCAGCATTTCCACAGGCAGTAGGCATATGGCTGCTCTTAAGATGTGCATCGGGTTTGGTTTCCCACACAGGTGTTCTGGGGATAGGGTGGTGCTTCCTTATCTGGCCAGCACCCTAGAACTGCAACATTCGATTAAGTTGAGGTGACATTTATACGACAAAATGATTTGATATGAAAAATTCAATGGCCCTTAATGAGTTCACAGTGTGCACAGCCAATCCCCACTATACCTGATAATAGAACATTCTGTCACTCTTGAAAATGCCTATATCCATCCAGCCATCCCCCTCATCCCCCGGTTGCCTCTCCACCTGCCGCCCCTAAGGTCTGGTCTACTCTGAATGTCGTATATAAACACAGCCCCACAGCATGTGCTTTTGACAGTCCTTCTTCACTTACAGGATACTTTGGGGTTCTGGCCATGCTGTAAGAATGAACCCCTGCTGCCTTTTTGTCACTAAAATTCTTGTGCATGGATCCTCACAGTTTATCTGCTCACTGATTATTGGGCATTTAGCTTCTAATTTTTACTATTGTGAGCAATGCTGCTAAGAGCTTCAACATACCTGTGCATAATTCTTCTTGAGTTTATTCTGGGTCAGATGTTTGTTTGGTTTTTTTTCTCCTTATTTTTAGATGAGAACTGAGGAGCCAGTACAAGCTCACTGAACAGAACTGGTGATCTCCTGGACGGCCTCTGATAACCCACCTCCACCCCTACCCCCAGAATATCATACTACAGTGAGAGTATCTAAAAGAGAAGTCTGGAAGAGCCAATGAAATGCCTTAGTGGGTAAAGACTTGCTTCCAAGACTGAGAGTCTGAGGTCAATTTCATAGGCATGGTGGAAAGACAGAATAACCCTAAGTGTTAAGTGCCATTATTGTTCTGTGTATATCACCTCAACTTCATATAGGCTGTGGTGTGGCATACTCACACTCATGCCTCCACAAACCCCCACAATAAGTAAATGTAATTAATTTTTTAAAAGCCTGAACACTGGAGAGATAGCTTAGCTTACTGTGCAACCATAAACATTGGTTTGGGTCCTAGCATCCATGCAACAAAGCATGTGTCAAATTCATGCCAGCAACCCCAGCTCTGAGTGAGATGGGTAGATACAGGCAAATGCCTGGGTCTTGGCTTCCAGCCTACTTGATAAAAATACAAGATCCAGGTACTAGAGACCCTGCCACAGGGACAGGCAGGGAGTGCTGGAGGACACCTGGTACTTTGTTCTGGGCGTTGTGCACATATATAGTCAGAGACACAAATCCATCAGGAAAACAACAAACAAAACAAAAACCCACTTTTTATTTTAAAAAGTCTGCATAAGCCAGGCCCTGGTGTCTCACACCTTTAATCCCAGCACTGGGGAGGAAGCAGAGGTAAGCAGATTTCTGTGAGTTCCAGACCAGCATGATCTACAGAGTGAGTTCTAGGACAGCCAAGACTGTTAACAGAGAAACCCTGTCTCAACCACCCCTCAAAAAAAAAAAAAAAAAAAAAAAAGCCTGTACAAAAAAGGGTTTAAGAACCGATGAGATGGCTTCCTAGGTAAAGTCCCTTGCTTGTGACCCGAGTGCCCAGAAGAGAGTTGACTCCTGAATGTTGTTCTCTGACCTCTACCTGTGCACAATGGCATGTGTGCAGCACCTACACTCTCAAACACAAACAGTAATAAAAGTAAAGTTAAATAATTAAACAAAACAACAACAAAATGTTTGCTGGGATTGACTGCTTAACCAGGAAGGAGAGTGAGGAGGGACCACACAAGGGACAAGCTCACTTTGTTAGGGAGAATTAGGTTATCCACTGAACTACAGGCTCCAGGCCCCTCAGGGAGACAGAACACCAAGGCTACCTCCTTACTGTATTCTTTACAGAACAGTGTGGTGCCATCTCTCTAGGAATGAGCGTCAGAACCCTAAGTGACTTAAGGATTAAGACACTTCTGGAAGACATATGAAAAAAGTGACACTCAAAACTTAGGTAAGAGAGCAATGCTTGAGGTAAGGCTATGACAAACACCTGTAATCCTGTATTCAGTAGTCTGATGCAAGAGGCTAGCCTGGATCACATAGTAAGACTTTGTTTCAAAACAAAACAAAACACTAAGGAAACCTATAATCAGATCCTATCATATGGTTAACTGACCAGCAAGATGACCCCAGGACTGGGACCCTTGTGTCTTTATCAACTGAACATCTTAAGTCACCAGAAGGTAATCCCAGCCAGGGACACCCACAGAACTGCAAATATTTCTAGATGGCCCACTCAGTGTCCACTGATGAGGCACATAGGCACCTTACCCTGCTCTGTTTCCATCTCGGCAGGTGGTGCAAATGCTGAAGTGTGACTGTCTCATACGAGTAGATCTGACATGGGTTGGTACACAGATCCCTTCCAACTTCTAGGGCACATACTTGTGTCAACTAGATGACACACAACTACAAAACAGGACTTTCTTTTTTTAAACCCTTGTGCACTTGCTGGTTAGGAAGACTGTCACAGGAGATACTACAAACTCCCTACATGACTCAGAAAGAGCAAACCCCACTGTGCCATGTTCCTAGTTCTGTGGGACTACAGGCCCACAAGCCCCTGGGCCAGAAGTTGGGGAGGAGGTTACTCCATCAAGACCCACTTAGGAAAATTGCACAGGGGCCCCAATAAACACTAAAAACTGAGGCAACAAAGATGGCCCAGCAGTTAAAAGCATAGGTTACTCTTCTAGAGGACCCATACTCAATTTCCATCACTCATATGGTAGTTCAAAACTGTCAGTAACTTTGGCTTCAGGAGGTCTGATAACTTCTACTGGCTGCTTCAAGTATCTATCATGTATGAAGACGGTATGTAAAGGCAAAACCATACACATAAAACAATAAAAATTTAAAACACCAACTTTATTCAACAAAAGCCCTCAAAGGAGCATGAATAAAACAAAGAGCATAAACACTCTATAAACAGTTAACCGTAAAGTCAGGTATCTTGACCCTTAAGACAGTGAGTATACAACACGCCAGGTCACCTAGTGCCTCAGAGTCTAGACATACACAAGATCTGTGACTGGGCCCCCACAACACCCACTATACAACACTCCACCTAAACATACAGCTAGGCCTCACCTCCCAAACACTGAACACTGACAAGAACACACCAGACTTCCCTCGAAGGTTCGTAAGCTACTAGGCTGTTTAAGATGCTCCCCTCTAATCCTGGATCAACTGTTCCCGATGCTCAGAACAGGCAACCTCTTGAGCCCTGAGGGATGCCTGAGCTTTAGGTGTCTCCGTTTTATGCATCAGGGAGTAAGGATCAGGAGAGGGGGGGACTCGGTGGAGGAAGGACTGATCAAAGCGGCAGGTGGGACCACAAATAGTAGCATCTGTGATAAACAGCCTCCCCCCTGGCTCCCAGCTCCAGGTCTCTGGCAAGCTAATGTGCCAGGGCAAGAAGGAGCCTATCCAGAAGCCTTTCTTCCACAGGTAGCAGGCAGCAGGTACTAACTCCATTCCAAATTCTGAAGCCTTCAGGATGCTCAGACTCCAGGGGAAGAGATTTTGATGGTACTGGCCATGCTGACCAAGTACCCTCTTCCGCAAATGGGCCACCCACCTCTCGCCAGGGTTCAGCAACACCTGCCAGTGTTGGACCTGAGTCCTTACAGCCCAGCGGACATGCATTGGCAGCAGGTGGCACATAAAGTGGATGCTATCCAACAGGAGCACAAACTTCTGGTCTTGTAACCAGGATTGTCCTGCTGTCTGGTCCAAGGGCCAGATGGATCTCAACTCCAACAATACAGGTTGCCCAGGAGATGGCATCACATCAAAAATATCCCACAAAGACAGAGGAGGAATGAGCTGGTGTGAGCAGGGAAAAAGGCCATCAAATCTCCAGGGAAGGACCTGGGTCCACTCAGCATCCTGGAGGCCAAGATCCAGAGGTATAGCTTCCTGAGGCAAGAGCTCAGTGGGCACAGAAATGGAGAATAGTACTAACTGTGTCCACAGAGGGGTTGGTACCAGGAGTCCAGACCCTACAGAGACACTCTGTGGCACATAAAGGGGCCCCAATCCCCGCCATGCATCCTGCTGAGACACTGACTCCTGCTCAGAATCTGACTCTGACTCTGACAAGTATCCCATGAGCTCAGCACTCTCCACTTCCTCTTCCTCCTCTTCTTCCTCTTCCCAGTCTCCCATCTCCAGGCAGAGTTTATTCAACAGGAAAGCTGCCTTGAAGCAAGCAAAACACATCTTCATCTGTCCTCCATGGACAAGCTGATACAGCCAGGCTTGATAGAGGGACGACATGCCCCTGGCCCCATGGTGAACACTGACTGGGGGACACATGGCTAAAAAGTCTGTCTGCAGCTAAGTGGGCACACAGAGAAAGACTTGCTCGATGGGTCAGGAGGTCAAGTCAACAGGACCTTAGGTGCTAAAAATAGGTGGAAAAGTCGAGAATGTCAGAAGCGGGAGAAAATGGGGTACAGTAGGAGGGTTAGGGAGTTTGGGGCTCCGGGACACGGGGCAGTGGTACGAGAACTGGGTAGGAATTCAATGAATACCTCTCAGGAGAAGCAGACAGGTTTGACCTTCCAGAAAGTTCCTCACCTTCACACTTGCTACAACGTCTGGCGACCTAGAAAGGCAGAGGAAATGAGGCTTGGCTCCCCCTGCTGGGCACGCTCCTGGGACCACTGAGGAGAGGGGTGTTGGGGCTCTGGACCCCCGGGCTCACTGCTCACTCTGAGCAGGCTGGGGTGCTTTCCCCACACCCACAGCTTCAGGAGTTCCCTCAGGGCTCAAGGCCCCAACCTCACACTTGGGCCTGGCTACCGACCAAGGAGGCCGGGAAGCCTAAGCCAGGCCCTCCTCTCTGCCCACCGCACTCCCACCCGGCCCAGGCCCAGTGTCCACCCAGCCCCAGGCACCCGGCTCGGCCCCTTCCCGTCCTTACCTCCCAGACCGAACTCCCAGGTAGGCAAGAAATGGCCGCCGAACCCAAGCTCTCGTCTCTGAGTGCTGAGCAACGCGGCCTTATAAAGAGCCAACGCCCATGATGCTCCAGCTCATTTGCATATCTCCCATGAGGCTCCAAAACTGCAGGAAGCGAAGGCGCTGAGTCACTCTGGCCCCCAAGGCTCACATGAGGCCTGGTGCCCCCCCAAAATGCGCATGCGCCGCTCCCCTGCCCGCACCCTGTGTGCTCTTGTGGTGCCCGATGTCCCCTCCCTGATCCTGTTCCTTCGAGTGACTTGAAGGCCCAGATCGTGTTTGTAAAAGATGATCCCTTCTTCCCCGTCTCTTCAGTAAAAGTTCTTTAAGATTTGGGAAACTGCACACTCGGCCCTCAACTATGTTTTCGGCACAGTTCCCCCCTCTCTGGATCTTTTTGTTCTTAAACAGACTCTTTAAAGAAATTCTTTGTAGGGGCTGGAGAGATGGCTCATCTGTTAAGATCACTGACTGCTCTTCCAGAGGTCCTGAGTTCAGTTCCCAGCACCCACATGGTGGCTCACAACCATCTGTAATGGAATACGATGCACTCTTCTGGTGTCTCTGAAGAGACCAACAGAGTACTCATATAAATAAAATAAATCTTTTAAAAAAAACAAAAAACAAGAATAATAATTCTTTGAAGAGTTTATCCTTAACGGAGTTTGGGACTCAGAGAAAAACCAAGCAGATGATAGAAGGTATCCAACTCTTTGGGGTCAGCCTTGAGCATACAGAGATTTATTTGTTAAAATCAGAGAGCAGCATTGTAGTCTACTCTGGACATCCCATGGGGTTGGACACCCGCTTAGTGACATTCTCCTGTCACCACAGGGCCATGTGGAACAGTTTCACTCTTTCTACAGATCCTCTGGGCTGCCCTCAGGGTCCTGCTCTCCCCAGGCCTTGGACTAGACTTCTGCAACCATTTTGCCCTGTCCAGAGTGTCACATCTAGCCTCAAGAATCAAAAAACTACCACAGTTTCCTTCCTTAGCAACACTTGATTTGGTTCCCTGGGTGTCCTGGGACAACAGGAAGCAAGTTTCACTTCAGAGTTCAGTAATACTCCATTAAAGGGATATCCCTTTATCCACTCACCTTATGAAGAGGATGTTATTGCTCTCTGGGGTTTTTATGGGTAAAGCTGTTATGTATAGTTGCAAGCTTGGCAGTTACCTGGGAGTCTTCACTGGCCCTGTGTCGTCTTCTTTTATCCCAACTTTTCTCCACTGTCACCATCAACCTTGTGTCTGATGCTCTTCACCTGCTCAGATGTCTCCTCTTCAGCTTTGACTAGCCAGCTGTCTCTCCTGACTCTTGCCTTTTGAGCTACCATGTGGTTGCTGGGAATTGAACTCAGGACCTCTGGAGGAGCAGTCAGTGTTCTTAACCTCTGAGCCATCTCTCCAGCCCCAACTCTTGCCTTTTGGTCTTAGTGTTCAGTTTTCAACACCTGGAGACCTTTAGGTAGGGTAGGCTGACTGGAGGAGGTGTGTCCCTGGGAGTAGCCTTTGAGAGTGCATAGCCTCACCTACCTCTGATCTGCTCTCATCTTTTTGTTTGTGGTTAGAGAAGTCATCTCTCAGCCTGGCCCCCTGTTGCCTCTTCTGCTGTTATGGTCTATCCATTGGGAACCATTAGCCAAAAGAAATTTTTTGTTCTGCAAGTTACCTTGGTCATATTTTATCACAGCAGCAACAAGAAGTTAATGTACCACTGCTGGCTTTCTACTGCTTCTTCACTGCTTTCTTCCTGTTACCAGCTCAGCCTGCACTACTGAAAGTCAACTGAAAAAAAAAAAAAAAAGATCACTTGGAGGCTGGAGAGATGGCTGAGCAGTTAAGAGCATGGACTGCTCTTCCTTCCAGAGGTCCTGAGTTCAATTCTCAGCAACCACAAGGTGGCTCACAACCATCTGTAATGGGATCTGATGCCCTCTTCTGGTGTGTCTGAAGAGAGAGACAGTATATTCACATATATTAAATAAATAAATATGTAATTTTTTAAAAAGGATCACTTACAAGAAGCTTCTTGGGGAGAGGGCTCAGCAGGTAAAGCAGTTGCTTTGCAGTCCTCAGTCTCAAGAACCCATGCAAAAGAAAAAACCAACCACCAAAATAAAACAAGAAAACAAACAAAAAAACCCCCCGAGTGTGCTGGCAAGCGCTTGTAATCCCAACACTGTGGGATAGAGGTGGGGGACAAAGGCAGAGGATCTCTGGGGTTCCTGTCTGCCTGAATCAGCAAGGTCTATGTTCACATAGAAACTGTGTCTCAGAACAGAAGGATGAAGACACCTGATTGATGTTGGCTTTTGGCCTTCCTATGTAAGTGTGAACACACACACAAGTACATGAACATATAAGCACAAATATACAACAAAATTTAAAAAATATAGAGAACTGGATGTAGCAGTTCATGCCTTCATCCCAGCACTTGGGAGTCAGATCTGTTACTGTGAGCCTTGTCTCTTCTACATTACTACATTGCTAGTTTCACATTAACTAAGACTACATGGTGAGACTCTCAGAGAGAGCGAGAGTGAGAGCTTTCGTTCATCCCAATGCTGCAATATTTAAAAAGGCAAATAGCAGGGCATCCCCAGCTAACTTATTAAATAAGCTTGAGCCACCTGTTTAAACAACCAGAGAAGAGGTGTTGGGACTAATCATGGCTCTTCTCACATGCTAATGAGGGTTTACAGTTCAACTAATCACAGCACACCTCACATGCAAATGAGGGTTTGTGTTTTCACCAATCACATGCTTTGCCTCTTGGCACAAATCTCAGCAGTTCCTCTGAGGAACTACTTTTCCTCCGGCCTGGGCAGAAACTGTTACAGGGTCATATAGAGTTCACTAAGGCTTTGTAATAACAAAAAGTCTTCTGCAAATTGTTGGAAACAATCCTTGCTTAAGCTGCACCTTGGGGAGCAAGGCTACTAGCTATGACCCAGTGCACTGACTTTTCAAGGTATTTATTCTGTCATGAGGGTGGCTTGGCTATCTATTTGACTGACAGCCCTTTTGCTCAAAGCAGTCAGGATCCAATAGCTGCCAATTACCAAGTGAAATTGCCCACCCCACCTACAGCATATTCATTTATTTACAGGAAAATGAACATTGTTGGGAACAAGCAAAAGAAACTTATTCTAAGTACTACCATTTTATTTTCAGACTCCATTTAATCATAGGGAGAAACTAAATTCAAGGTCCCAGGCTCTAGGGTCCCTATAGCTAAGCAGCTACTGTTGTAAACAGTTGTCTGAGTCCAGATGTCTCAGAGACAACATGTAAGGAGACAGTTGTCTAAGTCCAACCATCTCAAGGACAATGTCTCCATTTTGCTGTCAGGGTCAAACAAGTTCCTGTTCCCAGGCCTAGGAAAGAACACTTATCCTACTTTTCCAAATGTTTTCTTAATTGTCTGTTAACTGGTTAAGAATATAGACATTGCTGTTATCTAAACCAAGGTGCCTAAGTTGTAAAAATATATAAACAATTGCCTATTATATTCCAAATTAACCACGTGCAGCTCACCAGCTCCTTTGTTCCCTTTTCATTCTGAGCTCCCCACCTTAAATCTAGGAGAATGCTTTAAGGACCTTAAAGCCAGATGCCCTGGATATGACCCAGTCTCCCACGGGTACTCCTTCTTTAACCCATAATGTCAAAATACAGTTGGATAACACTGTAGGTCACCCCATCTCCCCTACCTCACTCTGTGTTCCCGTCCTTTAAAAAAGTTGTAAAATCTCCCAGGTCTCAGTTCAGATCCCAGCCTGGCTCCCTTCCTGAGCACTCAGAAAATAAAGCTTTCATTTTTAAGCTTCTGTCTCTAAAGTGAGTTTTCTTGTCTTCCACCTCCAACCCAACAAACATCACAAGCAGAGACTACAGTAAAGGATTTGACACGTCTGTCATCAACAGTAGGTTTTTTTGTGGTTTGTTTTTGTTTGACAATGTTTAACACCTTGCCCAGTTCTTCAGGGAGAGATAGATCTCCATTATCTGTGTTGGTACGCTAAGTTCACAGTTCATTTCTTTATACTCTATTCATTCTTAGATTTTTTTTTTTAAATAAACTCTTGCCGGGTGGTGGTGGCACACGCCTTTAATCCCAACACTTGGGAGGAGGCAGAGGCAGGGGGGTTTCTGAGTTCGAGGCCAGCCTGGTCTACAGAGTGAGTTCCAGGACAGCCAAGACTACACAGAGAAATCCTGTCTCGGGAAAAAATAAAAAAAAACTCTTATGTTTTATCCCACAACAGGCTCCCATCAGGAATATGTGTTCAGATGTATCCTTAGTAGGAATGGGGTGTGCTGAACCACCTTCCCACATGCCCATGGC